CCGCTTCGACGCGATCGTATGTGAGCAGAACCTCATGGATACGTTATGGCCAGTGATGGACCAGTACATGGGCTTGTACAAAAGGGAGGCAGAAGCGATCGCCCTTGCGGACATGTTAGAGATTGAATTGAACGCGGACTGGAATCGTTTCATGTCCTAGGCATCTTAGTATCTGTATCTCTGTCTAATTTTGAGCGGATCTGTCGTTTGTACATGGGACATCGGGGTGTGATCGGCAATTCCCAGATTAGCGATAGCCTTGTGTGTGTCTATGTACGGACATCTGTAGCGCTCAGAACCGATCACTTCATCACACACAATCGATCAGATTGATCTGACAGCTTGTTATCGTGTCTCAGATGCTGCGGCTGCAATGTGCATGCACACTGAGACCATGTGCGTGCATTATGTTCTCAAGCATTGGGAAGTGAGGTGATGCTGCGCGCTCGCGTGAATCCCAATAATGTATGTGCGCATACTACGAAACACAGTACTCCTCCAAGGGGATCTTGCGCGGGAGGGTGGGATCCCCTGTTACATGGTGCGCGCAGTACCGGAGACAATAGGTTACTTTGAGGAACCTAAGGCATGGTTCGCGATGCTGACATGTGCTTGAGGGGATCTCGCGCACGCGCGCGAGATCCCCTGGGAGACTGTGTGTACTACGTTTGAGTACACGGACGCGTCGTGCGCGCGTACCCTTTCTAGGGGATCTCGCGCGGGTGCGCAGGATCCCCTGAGACCCCATGTGCGTACGCTGTGCGGGTACATGGAGGTATCATACATGCATATACTTTGTAGGGGATCTCGCGCACCCCTGGGGACTGTGTGTACTATGTTTGAGTAAATGGATGTGTCATGCGCGCGTACCCTTTCCAGGGGATCTCGCGCGGGTGCGCAGGATCCCCTTGGAGCCCATGTGCGTACGCTGTGCGGGTACATGGAGGTATCATACATGCATACCCTTTCCAGGGGATCTCGCGCAGGTGCGCAGGATCCCCTGGGAGCCCATGTGCGTACGCTGTGTGGGTACATGGGGGTATCATACATGCATACCCTTTCTAGGGGATCTTGCGCGGGTGCGCAGTATCCCCTGGGAGACTGTATGTGTACAATGTTTGAGTACATGGATGTGTTGTGCGCGCGTACCCTTTCTAGGGGATCTCGCGCGGGTGCGCAGGATCCCCTAACACATGGTGCGTGGTGCGTGCATGGCACATGGGACTGGCATATGTCCCAGGGGATGTCGCGCCAGTGCACAGACCCCTGACATTCAGTACTGGATGTTGGTCTTGACGCAGTCCACATAACTGGTGTTGAGAGGTGCGCAGGGGATCTCGCGCGCCCGCGCGAGATCCCCTGAGACATGTAGGTGCGGCCCGAAGTCAGCACTTGCCTTATATGGTAATGGCCCAAAAAGGAATTACCATATAAGGCAAGCTGAGGGCACGCTGACCCCCCCTGGACTTAGGTGAAGGGGGTATAATAGGATGTAGACTGTACGCAATTTGTGTCATATCCATGTACACAGATCTTGGATGCAATGTGTATTCTCACAAATGCTGGTCCAAGGGCAAATGAGCATATACATTGGACTTGACACACAGCGTGGACAGATTAGGAGTTTGCCTGAACCTACATGACGATTGACATGCTAGAGAAATGATTCCTAGGCGTGTAACACGTCTCAGAGCAACAGAGCAAGACATATTGACCAATTGCCCTCAACACAAATGACCATACAAATGCTAGCTAAGATGATTGTAGGGCATAAGAGTATGGTAATGAGGCGTCTTAGGACGCATCCCAGGTGCTAGAACGGTGTGTAAATGGCTTGGTCAGTGCCGGAAAATCCACAATATCGAAATCACTTACCCTATTTGCGCCCCAGGACCCAGTCCAATGGGGGAAGTCGTGGGACACCAGGTACCCACCATCTCCGGCGGCGCCCAAGCACGTGGATTGGAACCGAAGACATGATCATGTCGGGGCGTACAGCAGGGTGCGCTTTACGCCACTTCCGCCTTTGCTGCTCCGGCGTCAGGACCACCTTCGCCTTCTTCTGGTAACGACTGTAACAAGCGAATAAGTGACCGATCTAATGATACAAAAAATCAATACATACACGGGCAAGTCGTCCTCAGCCTTGCGCTTCAAGGACGTCGGCTTCTGGGGCACCACAGCCTTGTTAGAAGACATTGAAATGTTGTCTAATCGACTGTTAGCTCGGCTTGTAACGCTTAACAATGGGATTTACTTACTGTTGACGAGGGATGGTGGGGGAAGGAGGGAAAGAGACGAGTGGGTCGGTCAGACAGCAGCCAGGTTTATATACCACCCTCAAGGTCATGCACATGATCATAACCGAGGATTTTGCCACCGATGGGCCATGGTGTTTGACGAAAAAGGAAAGGCTCATGTTGCACCTATGTCGAGCCAGACCGTGGCCAAATATGGTGCAGGAATTGAAACCCAGCTTAGTGCACGTAAGGAGTTCATATTTCAATAGAAGGGAACAATACAGACATGGTAAATCATTGACACAGATCATCGGACTTAACAAGACGGATAAATTGGCCTCAACTTATATGACAGTATAAGAGCTAGCTCAGATCATCATAAGGCATAAGGGTACAGTAATAAAGTGTCTCAAAGGGTATAAGACGTCTCAAGGGCTCAGCCTGTGTGAATGACTTGTTCAGCGCCGGAAAATCAATAATATCAAAATCACTTACTGTTCTTTCCGTCCAAGGACCCATTCGAGCGTGGGCAGTGGCTGGACACCAGGCTCCAACCATCTCCAACGATGCCCGATGACGTGGATTGGAACCGCACACAGGACCATGTTAGGCCTTGCAGCTGGGTGTGTCCTGCGCCGCTGCCGCCTTAGCTGCTTGGCCGTCAGGGCTACCTTCGCCTTCTTCTTGTGGCGGCTGTAGCAAGCCAATGAGTGAACAATCTAATGCTTGAATTAACAATAACTTACACAGGCAACTCGTCCTCAGCCTTGCGCTTCAAGGACTTGGGCGACTCAGGAACTGCAGCATTGTTAGAGGACATTACAGTTCCGTCTTATGGACTGTTAGCTTAGCTTGTGATGCTTAGATATGAGAATTACTTACTGTCGATGACGGATGGTGGGGGGAAGAGGGAAAGAGACGAGGGAGGCGGTCAGACAGCGGCCAGGTTTATATACCATCCTCATAGCCATGCACATGATCATAACCGACGAATTGGCCACTGATGGGCGGTGGTGTTTGACGAAAAAGGAAATGCACTTGTCTTGAGCCAGACCATGGCCAAATATGGGTGAGGGAAATGAAACTCAGTGTTCTCTAGTGGCCATGGCCCTCCCCCTCGGCTGACAGGCTGCCAACAGATTAAGAATGGCTGCAGACATGGGTCCCAGATTTGGTACCCGTATTCCTACATAGGAATGGACCATATTGACGATAAGGAATCTACCCCGAGATCGTAGTGGTTCAAGTGGTCATTACCTCCCCCCTTGGCTGGGATGCCCGCCAACCAAACAAGAATGGCTGCAGCTATGGCTCCCAAACTTCGTACCCATACTCCTACACATAAATGGATCATATTGACTATAAAGAACCTACCCCGAAATCGTAATGGTTCACATGCTAGTGGTTGTGGCCTCCCCCCTTGGCTGGGATGCCCGCCAGCCGAGAAGGAACGGCTGCAGCTATGGCTCCCAGATTTGGTACCCATGGTCCTACATACCAATGGACCATATTAGCTATAAAGAAGCTACCCCCAAATCCCCTTTCTTGGTCTCCTAGAATATGCCCTCCTGCCCATGGTACGCATTTTTCGCCCATAGCACCGGCATCAGACCTCCAATCGCCAAGCGGCTTGGCACCAATGTTCACACATACAAATGAAGCATTTCGCTATAAACAAGCTTCCTGCCAAGTGCTGTTGTTGTGGCTCTGCACATAGCAAAAATGCGCCTATTAACAAAAAGAATTGCCCACTGCTCGAAAACCGGTCCGCCGATTTCCCTGAAACTTTGCACCCATCATCTACATGATATAGACGTCCTACATACCAACTTTCAGCCCGAAATTCCGGTACCCTCTTTTGTAATTAATTCCTAACTGACCCCTATTAATTGCCTGTGACCTTAGGCTGATGGATACAAGGTCTTGTATACGCTGCTGTTGACCTGGACACTGGAGGCCAGGTTGCAATGAAGCTGGAGCATTGCAGCTTCCTTGAGCAGCTACATAATGAGAAGGAGGTGTATGAGGAGTTGCAACGTCGAAATGGTGGCTCTCAAATGAAGGGGTTTCCGATGATACAATGGTTTGGACAAGAGGGAAATCTCAACGTCCTTGCCATGGACATGCTGGGGCTGTCGCTGGAAGCCCTCTTCAACTCGTGCGGGAGAAGATTTACTTACAAGACAACACTGCTCATAGGGTGCGAGGTTGTAAGTTTTGTTCGTAAGTATGCGTGCAGCGCGTATCTCATTCACAATAATCCAGCTTGACAGGCTACAGACTCTCCATGCGTGTGGCTATGTCCACCGTGATCTGAAGCCACAGAACCTCCTCATAGGCTCTCTGGACCACAAACACTTGGTGCATCTCATTGACTTTGGCATGGCTCAACGGTTTGCCGACCTCATCACAGGCAAGCACCTTCGATACCACGATGGTTTCGATATGCTGGGGACAGCCTGCTACGCCTCAATCAATGCTCACCGGGGTGTAACTCAAACACGACGCGATGACCTCATCTCATTGTCCTACATCCTCATGTATTTCCTTCGTGGTTCACTTCCCTGGTCAGAGCACACAGCGTCTAGTAAGCCTGGGGCCAATGCGCGGCTGGCTAAGGCTAAGGCAAAGGTCCCACGTCTATACAAGGACCTTCCGTCTGAACTCACCACGGTTGTGGATTACGCCGCCAGGCTCGCCTTCGACGAGACACCTGACTACGACTACATCCGGAACATGTTTGAACTTGGCCTGATCAGGAATGGCTTTCATCGGAGCTCCAAGTATGACCGGGAGATGTCTCCTGCAGAGCTGGGCCATAGAGTGTACGTCTGCCTCGCCATTATTGTACACAAGACTAGAAATTGACAAATAATTGCCAGATTACGATCACACACTCAATCAAACCTTCTAGCAGAGGGCTGCTGAGGGTGTCTCACACTGTGAGGAAAGGTGTTCTGAAGTCCAATGTGTTGTATTCTCTATGCGGATCGATTTGTAGCCTCACGTTGTATTGAATTGATTATTGCATTATTACTTGCATTTTTACGCACCAATTTGATCTTAAGCCGACTCGTAAGCGACTCGTAAGCCCAGCTTGGCTCCTGGCACTAGAGCTAAGAGCTGTGTCCAATGAGCTGATCTCAGCTCGAGCCGGCTTGACTCAGAGTGCTTGTTAGTCATGTGATATGGCCGGCTTGTTCCGGCTTTGGAGTCACGGCAACACTAGCATAGGGGGACAACTGGTCAACCTGGGAGAGGGACTCCGTCACAGCAAAGTACCACAGAGGCTGAGACCTCATGAAGGTCTGAACCTTCATCACAATTGTGCAATTTTTGGGTGTGGTGTCATCACCTTTGTGCTCTTGGGGGAAGTGATTAGCAAGGGTCTTGGCACTTTTTCCAGCCTTGTTGCACCAAACACACTTGAACCCATCCCCAATCACAAGGGCCTTGACTTTTAAGGTCATGCTGAGAGCTAGCATGACCGAGAGCATTAGCCGGGAGATAGGCAATTTGGCATGGTGTGGTGGACAAACCCAATTGAGTCCAGGAATGGAGTTGAGATGAGATAAGAAGTGTGAGGAGAGCATGCTATATTATTAATTAATAGACATCTATCAGGTGGAAAAATTCTCAAGACATATGGTCTTGATAGCTCAATATTTTGGCAATCCTCTTGGTCTTTGCATTGTCTGCAGTCACTACAAGAATGCTTAGACTTGTGAAGAACAATACATGGAACCAAGTCTACACACCTGAAGCTGGCTTGGTCTTAGATATGGTGAAGAACAAGTCACTGTTTTGCATTCCACCGCTTTACCAGTGCTGGTTTTATTGATATCTAGCTCATATAATGGTCAGTAGGAAGAACACAGGATAATTGAGCTATATCACATACCTTGATGTTCAGAATCCATGTGCATGTGAAGTGCATCCTGATCCATCAGGACAGAGGCACAGCCAGGAACAGCACAAGTAACACTGTAAGTTAGTCAGAATAATTGCTGAGAATGACAGTAACAATGTCTGAAACATACATGGAAGAGCTCATGATGATGCTAGTAGGACTATGGAAAAAGGTTCAAAAATTGATGGTGGTGGTAAGGGGAAGAGTTAGAAAGTGTACAAACAAAGAGACATGTACTGATGCTTGTGCATATTCATATTTTCCCATGGTACTTGCCATAAGCGGTAAGTGGTGACTTGGTTGGGTGGTACATGAATAGATTCAGCAAAGACAAGTCAGCAAACAGAATAACAAGCTTGAATCAGTATCAGTAACATCTATCTGCACTTCCATGATGTCTCAAATCTCAATCTCAGATCTTGAATCCAGGCCTGGCCTCAGTGCTTCAACACTTGCACCCTAAACCCCAGGCCAAGCTGCCTTTTGCTGCCCAGGTGCAGAGTGCACATGGGTTCTATTCACCACACATAGATTGTATCAAGACACATAGATAGCATTGCCAGAATGTACACATAGACAGCATTGACCAAAGACAGCATTGACCAAAACAAGATAGCATCTACCAACACATGTGGATAATAACAACCGAAACACAAGAGTACATGTGATGATGAGAAAGCAACCAGAAATCAGGGACTTGTAGCAATGAGGTACAGCAATTATAGAACAAATCATGTGCAAGGATCACATATTCCCATTACCACCAGTCACACTGCAAGCATGGTACAGGAGCTGGAAGAAGACCCAAAATGCAAAGTCAAGCTGGTGGTACATGGAGAGGGTAAGGGCCTCCAAATCAGGGCAACTGAGACCTGTGTGTGGAAATGAACAAATGTTAGACATGATGATCCATCCTACAAAGAGGAACTCACGTCAAAGAGTCTCCATATCTATGTTCATGGTTGTCTCACTGTCCTACCCTATGCCATCCTGTGTCCCTGCATCCTTTTTGGCCTTTAGCTGCTGCTTGATCTGCTCCATCAGGGCAG